TAGCTACTGGAAAACTTTGATAATATTTTTAAAAATTTGAAAATTTTTTGAAAAAATTCGTCAACTACCCTAATAGTTTCGATCTTACGATTCTTCTAGCTACATCGAATTTCATCTAAAAATACGTATCTTTTCAGGGATTATAACGTTTTGAATTTTTGCTACATGTTACAGCTGAGATGCAACATATACAAAAGTTCTTGTTATGTCGCTATTTGTTATCCTTGGGTATCAAAGTTTTATGTGCATCAGAAATATTTTAAGTTTGTCTGATCAAAAATAAAATTTGAATTTTGACTGAGATCATATTGGACAAAATTAGAATTTCAATTTTGCCTAGACGAAATTAAAATTTCAATATTGACTAGGTAAATGTTAATTTTGATCACAACATATATATATATATAGTCTTTAAAAGTAGATATATGTAGACAAATAAACATGAATGATTTTTTAGTTCAGTTCGAGGACTTACTTGATGAAATTCTTATATATATATATTTAAAAAATTGTACAATGATGAAGTGCTTTATTCATTAATGGATCTTAATCAACGATTCGATAGAATTGTACATGATACAGTATTTATTCGTGATTTATGTTTATTAGAATATTGTCCAATCGACGATTCTACTTTTCCACTTTCAGATCCAATAATTGATCGATTTTGTTCAAAAATTTTACCTCAAATTGGACATAAAATTAAAACTCTTTTTCTTTTACGAACATCAATAGAACGTGTTCTTCATGCTACAAGCTATTCTAATTTAAATCATCTTGGGTTATGTGATATTGAATACAAAATAGCTAAATCTCTGTTTGATGGTAAGAAATTTTCTTTGATTTGATTTATTTTATTGTAGGATTTTATAGTTACTGAGGAATAAAATAATTAAATTTTGAACATATATTCATAATGAAATATTATCTATTGATAAAAAATCATTTTTGATTCCACTTTAATGTACTAAATAAAACATATCTTTCATAGAAACATCATTATGAGAAAAAGAATTTAATCATTTGCATAAGAAAAAAAAAACGATATTGATTATATATTCAATTAAAAATTTTTCAAGATCAGTAGAGGTTTATATACAGGAAGTCTAGAAGAAAATCAATAATATAAACAAGTCAACAAATGAAATGTAGAACACAACATTGATCATATACAATGTAATCTATGAGAGAATTTTAGAAAACGAAAAAGTTTATTAAATAGAAAATCTTAGATATTTTAATTGAATGAATAAAAACAGATATGAAAATTTTTTTTTTATCATTTATTTTAAAACTTTATTTAGATGAAAGTCCTTTAACACATATGTTTAAGAATCAAATTTCATCACTCTTTATCAATTTGAGTGATGAAGACGATCCACTTTCAATGGGAGCTTTGACTTCAATTATATTTATAGAAATTTTCAACAAATGTACTAATTTACGGTGCTTAAAAATCAATCCATCTTTATTTGATTTTGGCACTGTAAATGATTTTATGACATATAGAACTACTATTTGTTCAACTTTATTAGAATTACATGTCACTCTGACACATATGCAAGACTGTCTTTGTATACTTGATGGGCGTTTTGATCAACTTCGTATACTTTATATTACTTTTCATCATATTTGCTTTGAGTTTTCTGAAACTAAACATAATGTGGGTTATTTTTATTAATATTTTGTTTGTTTAAATGAACTTATATTTATTTTTTTTTGTTTTCATTTTCAGCAAAAACTATTACCAAACTTACGGATTTTTTCCTTGTACTGCGAGTCGAAGATATATAGTTATGATAAATTAATTGTATCACTTCTACGTCGAATGTTAAATTTAGAAGAACTTGATTTAAATCTTCTAGTTAAATCTTATAGAAAGTTTATTGATGGTGATATATTAAAAAAAGATATTATTACTTATATGCTACGATTATATAAATTTACATTTAATATTTGTTCAATCATTGATCATCATGATCAAATTAATTTTTCATTAAATGAATATATTCAGAATACATTTAAATATATTTCTAATAATCAAATAATTACTTCTATTGATTATTTTCAAGAAAAAGAATATAGTCGATGTCATATTTATTCATATCCGTATAAATGGAAATTTTATAATTATATAACAAATAATTTTCGGGATGGATTATTTACTAATGTTACTCGAGTATCATTATATGATCAACGTCCATTTGAATATAAATTTTTTCTTCGAATTCAAATATCATTTCAATTTATGAAAAAATTAACAATAAAAAGTCGAAAAGCACAAAAATATAAACAATTTATAAAATCAAACAACAATAATCAAATATTGCCAATTATTGAATATTCTAATCTTACTCAACTTGATCTTAGTAACACTCATGATGATTATCTTGAATTATTTTTATTTAATACGAATATATCTCTACCAAATAATCTTCATCTTTGTGTCAATTATCAATCACTCAAAAGAGTAACATATTATTTTACAAGATATCATTGTGTAAAACTTGCTGCTCTATATTGTGATCCACTGAATCAAATGGTTGAATATATAAAAAACTATTTTCCTTATACATGTATATGTTCTACTGTTGATTTTCGTTTCATAAGAAAGAAAAGTTCACACACATGTTTCAATCGATATATCTCTGCAACTACTTAAGAAATTCTATCAAATAAATAATCATTGTTAAAAAAAGCGTTTCAATATATATTTGTTGTGTTAAAAATAAAGATTATAATTGAAGAAATAAGAGAAAACCAATGAAAAAAATTTATTAGATACGGTTTTCGTTCTTAGAAAATAGTTCTTTTTATTCTGAATAATCAGAATAAGAAACAATTTTTTTCATCTAGTATATATTCATTTTTCTTTTGGCTACAAAATCTAATAAAGCAATTGTACATTGAAAATAATCATATATATATTTATTCTACACATTATTCACATTGATTATATTGTTTAAAATAACATTTGATGTATATTCTTTCTTAATATATTTGAATCGAATCATTTCTATGCTTTAATGATTCCCTTTTTTAATTTTATTAAAGATTTGGATTGTTCTTGACTTTGTCCATAAACTTTATTGATCTCAAAGTTTCTCATAGTTTGATTTTCGTCTGTATAGAATATAACGAAATATATAACTATCATTTATTTTCTTCTGATTATGTGATCTTTCTCTTTTTGAATGTTCATTGACTTCTCAATTAGTTACTCAGCTTGACTATCATTTATTCTATCTCTCTTTCATCAACCAAAATTGATTGTATAGAGTTTCCTAAAAGTCCATCGGTAAAGTAAACTCGAATAACTCCACTATTTATGGAATTTAATTAGCGAATTTTTTTTCTAATGATAGGTATTACTTTAAAGTTTTTTTTTTCCCACGAACGAATTTAATATATGTTGTTGAAAATTATTACATTCGGTTGAAATATAAAAAGCAGTCGTTTTTTGATTGATGAAAAATATCATTATTTACTATTCTGTTTTTACTTCTCCAATATTTTGCATTTAAATTAAATAAATCTTGGCCTACCATTTCTGTGCATTTGTACTTGTGTGTTACTATTAAAAGAAGATTAATGAGATCAATTCTGATGATTACAAAGATTTGAAATCTTCTTATCTTTTTTGAATGATGATTTGTAACTCAAGGACGTGAACCGATATTACGAGTTTCGTGATCATCAGATTTGACATCATTAGTCTTGTTTTAATAGTTACATACAATCACAAATACGTAGAAATGGTAACCCAAGAACTGTACGACCTACACGCACATATTGGAGTAGTAAAACAGGAATATTGAATAATGAATTTTTTCAACAGTCAAAAACCGACTGATTTTTATATTTCAACCGAATGTAATAACTTTGAACAACATATATCAAGTTGGTTCGTGGCTAAAACAACTTCACAATAATACCTATTATTAGAAAAAAAATTAGCTAAGTACGTTTCATAAATAGCGGAGTTATTCGAAAATCATGTCCCGATGAACTTTTGGGGCACCCTGTACAACTGACCTATGAGTTTGTAGACAATAGATCTTTACAATTGCTTAACTATTTGAACTTTAGATGTTTCATCAATATATAACTTAGTTATGATAGTATTTTATTTCGGTCTCTTAGAGTTAATTTTTGATAATGAATCTGAATATATCGGTCTTATAATCTCAATGAAATGAAATTGTTCTCTTAAATTGATTAAAATGTTTTGGCTCTGCAGTATCAGAAATGTAATGGTTGGATATCGTATCGTTCATGATTGTCTGGAAGCCTTCCATTTTTTATCGATGATCTTTTTCAAAGAAATCGAAATGTAAATATTCTCACTCAA